CGTTTTACGGGCTCCTAACCAATTGTGCTATTGTGTGTGTTTTTCGGGTTATTTGTAACTTATTTTGTACATAATGTTTCTGCCACCGTCTCTTCTGACCGAAAAGAGCTTCTGGATATCAGGACAGCGATTACTCACCTCGTACTGGACGAAGATTTGATCTTTAACAAGTCGGACGCGAAGGATTTACTACAGACACCCGACAAGGCCCAAATCCCCGTCATTCGCATGAGAAAGAGACGAAGATATAAGATAAGATATATGCCTTGTAAGGATCTGACGGCGAGTGGGTCATCTGCCACTACCATTAGTCCTATTAGCCAACGTACAATCATTGGATAACAAAATAGACGAACTACGATCACGGATATCCTACCAACGGGACATTAAAAACTGTAATATCTTATGTTTCACCGAGGCGTGGCTGAACGACGACATGGATAACATACAGCTGGCGGGATATACGCTGCATCGGCAAGATTGAACAGCTGCCTCCGGTAAGACAAGGGGTGGCGGTCTGTATATATTTATAAACAACAGCTGGTGCAATAAATCCAATATTAAGAAAATCTCTAGGTTTTGCTCGCCTGAGGTAGAGTATCTCATGATAAGTTGTAGACCACACTATTTACCAAGAGAGTTTTCATCTATATTTTTTTGTAGCTGTCTATTTACCACCACAAACCGATGCTGGCACTAAGACCGCACTTAATGAGCTGTATAAGGCCATAAGCAAACAGGAAAACATTCATCCAGAGGCGGCTCTCCTAGTGGCCGGGGACTTTAATGCAGGGAAACTTAAATCCGTTTTACCAAATTTCTACCAGCATGTTAAATGTGCAACCAGAGGAAAACACACACAGAGACGCGTACAAAGCTCTCCCTCGCCCTCCATTTGGCAAATCTGACCATAATTCTATCCTCCAGATTCCTACTTACAAGCAAAAACTAAAGCAATAAAGAAGTGGTCAGATGAAGCAGATGCTAAGCTACAGGACTGTTTTGCTAGCACAGACTGGAATATGTTCCGGTATTCTTCCGATGGCATTGAGGAGTACACCACATCAGTCACTGGCTTCATCAATAAGTGCATCGATGATGTCGTCCCCACAGTGACCGTACGTACATACCCCAACCAGAAGCCATGGATTACAGGCAACATCCACACTAAGAAGGGTAGAGCTGCCGCTTTCAAGAAGCGGGACTCTAACCCGGACGCTTATAAGAAATCCCGCTATGCCCTCCGACGAACCATCAAACAGGCAAAGTGTCAATACAGAACTAAGATTGAATTGTACTACACCGGCTCCGACGCTCGTCGGATGTGGCAGGGCTTGCAAACTATTACGGACTACAAAGGGAAGCACAGCCGCGAGCTGCCAAGTGACACGAGCCTACCAGATGAGCTAAATTACTTCTATGCTCGCTTCGAGGCAAGCAACACTGAAGCATGCATGAGAGCATCAGCTGTTCCGGACGACTGTGTGATCACGGTCTCCGTAGCTGATGTGAGTAAGACCTTTAAACAGGTCAACATTCACAAGACCGCAGGGCTAGACGGATTACCAGGATGTGTACTCCGAGCATGCGCTGATCAACTGGCAAGTGTCTTCACTGACATTTTCAACCTGTCCCTGACTGAGTCTGTAATAAGCAGACCACCATAGTCCCTGTGCCCAAGAACACTAAGGTAACCTGCCTAAATGACTACCGACCCGTAGTACTCATGTCTGTAGCCATGAAGTGCTTTGAAAGGCTGGTCATGGCTCACATCAACACCAAACCCTAGAACCACTCAAATTTGCATACCGCCCCAACAGATCCACAGATGACGCAATCTCTATTGCACTCCACACTGCCCTTTCCCACCTGGACAAAAGGAACACCTACGTGAGAATACTATTTATTGACTACAGCTCAGCGTTCAACACCATAGTGCCCTCAAAGCTCATCACTAAGCTAAGGACCCTGGGACTAAACACCTCCCTCTGCAACTGGATCCTGGACTACCTGAAGGGTAGGTAACAACACATCTATCCACGCTGATCCTCAACACGGGGGCCCCTCAGGGGTGCGTGCTCAGTCCCCTCCTGTACTCCCTGTTCACCCATGACTGCATGGCCAGGCACGACTCCAACACCATCATTAAGTTTGCCGACGTCACAAAAGTGGTAGGCCTGATCACCGACAACGATGAGACAGCCTATAGGGAGGAGGTCAGAGATCTGGCCATGTGGTGCCAGGATAACAACTTCTCCCTCAACGTGATTAAGACAAAGGAGATGATTGTGGACTACAGGAAAAGGAGGACCGAGACGCCCCCATTCTCATTGACGGGGGCTGTAGTGGAGCAGGTTGAGAGCTTCAAGTTCCTTGGTGTCCACATCACCATCAAACTATCATGGTCCAAACACACCAAGACAGTCGTGAAGAGGGCACGACAAAGGCTATTCCCCCTCAGGAGACTGAAAAGATTTGGCATGGGTCCTCAGATCCTCAAAAAGTTATACAGTTGCACCATCGAGAGCATCCTGACTGGTTGCATCACTGCCTGGTATGGCAACTGCTCGGCCTCCGACCACAAGGCACTTCAGAGGGTAGTGCGTACGGCCCAGTACATCACTGGGGCCAAGCTTCCTGCCACCCCAACCAGAAGCCATGGATTACAGGCAACATCCACACTAAGAAGGGTAGAGCTGCCGCTTTCAAGGAGCGGGACTCTAACCCGGACGTTTATAAGAAATCCCGCTATGCCCTCCGACGAACCATCAAACAGGCAAAGCGTCAATACAGAACTAAGATTGAATTGCCCCCCTCTTTTACGCTGCTGCTACTCTCTGTTTATTATCTATGCATAGTCACTTTAACTCTACCTACATGTACATATTACCTAAATTACCTTGACTAACCTGTGCCCCCGCACACTGACTCTGTACCGGTACCCCCTGTATATAGCCTCGCTACTGTTATTTTACTGCTGCTCTTTAATTAGTTGTTATTTTAATTTTTTTACTTTTACTTATCTGTTTTTTACTTAACACTTATTTTTCTTAAAACTGCATTGTTGGTTAACGGCTTGTAAGTAAGCATTTCACTGTAAGTATATGGCGCATGTGACAAATACAATTTGATTTGATTTGATTAATGGGGATCCTAATAAATCTAATAAAATAATCTAATAAAAAAACAAAAACAGAAGGGCATTCGAATGGAAATTGTTATTTTAACCACAGTGCCATCATTCACATAATTATCTACTTCACCTTGCATAATGGAAGATAAAACAGACATGATGTAATTGTGGCTTTGATAGGATTTTGGTTATAAATAAAACATGACTAAATGGCTCAGAAACACAAGACAGTAGTGACTGTGTTAGTTAGACATCAACAAGCTGGTAGGTAGCAACTTTCTTATCGTTTTTTTTAAATACTCGAAAGGAACTGCTCACAATGAAATGCTTTTTTCGATGGTCACCTGAGTGTTTGGAGAATGTGGTTTGGAGTTGAGGAGGGATGTTGTGAAGGGGTTGAGGAGGAACACTGCCCATCCATTTGACAAATGTACAACTATGCACTTCCAGTGGATTTTTGATTGAAAACAATGAATAAAAGCCCTACCTGTGGGTTGATTGTTAGATTGATGTTGTAGTTCCTTTAGGGAATTATTGTTAGTAGCAAGTTATGAACATAGAAAAAGCTTTAAATATGCATTTTGTTGACTATTACTTTATGTACAGTTAAGTTAATTTTTTAGATTTTATATTCATCACTTTAGGTTTCTGTTTTTAATTGCTATCTTATTTTATTTTTAATGTATCTTCTATCTTTTATTTTATCTTTAATGTATATTTTTTGTACAAAAAATCATGTAAAGTCATGTAAAATCATGTAAAGTCTCTGAGTTTTTTCTGGATGAGTTTCTTCATGTGGGTGTGCAATGAAACCACAATGATGTGCAATTAACTGAAGATATTTTAAAATACTTTTTTTGCTGTCTCTCACGTGGTAGAGGTTTGATATGATGACAACATAATGTACAATATTTATTTCCTTCTGTGTTTTTTAACATTAAAACTCCCATGGCCAGATTGAATACCTTTGCAAGTGTGTACTCAAACCTAAAATCTGCAAACATCATGCAACAGTTTTCACAAAGACAATACAGGAACAAAGCAAAACATGAAGGGTAGTATTTCAACATTGATTTCATAACATAAACCACCTTTCGAGAGTTTGCATAACAGTCTCAACCTGCCACATGCCATCTGCATCTGTCATGTCTGCATAACGTTCACTGATACCTATGTAACCTCCTAACTGGACTGCAATAGAGTTTGAATATGGTGTTACTGACCAAGTTCTCAATTGACCATATAATGAGACCCCATTATTGGTTCTTGAAAACGTATATGGCTGCATAGGATCAAAATATACTACAAAATATTTGTAATCACATACAAGGCTCTTCATGGCATGGCCCCCTTTACTGCTTTAAAACTACATCCCCACCAGCATCGTCAGAAACTCTGGCTCTTCTGTCCAAGTCCAAATATCAGACATGGGGCATATGGACTGCCCACCTGAGAAATATCAGTCAGGCTACTATTCTGTCCTCTTAAAAGTAATTTTTCTTTAGTAAAAATAAATCTCATTACTGTGTGACCTGAGTGTTCTTATTCCTTTATGCAAGCTCTCATTTAGTTGTTTCCAATATTTTAGTTCAATGGCATCCTTCCGTTATAGTGCAGTTGTATAGTATTTATCTTATTAATTACCCATGACATATAAGCGTGTGCAAGATTATAACTGACTGGACATCACAAAACCACATTCCCAAGATTTGAGAAACATTTTTTTTTAACATCTTGAAGCAAGACTTTGGTTGAATTGGTTAACATCTGCTGTGCTTTTGCAATTTTCCAATATACTGAGAGACCACAGCATCTGTCAGCCTACAGTATATAAACTGCGGGTCTATCATGTTCACAACAGACTGATCCTGGGCATCCTGCAGTCATTCACCATGGCACCCGTCTTCGTGCTGACTGTTTTCATCGCTGTTCTCTGCTCAGTTCAGGGCCGATCTACATGGGTAAGGGTCTATCTGAGACTATTGGGAAAAAGCTTTGCATGATGCTGAATTATGTGACTTTTAAACAAATTTGAACATATTTCCTTCTGCTATTGCCATACAGAAAGCTTCATTTGAAAGGAGTGAAGATGACATGGAAATTGGTATGCTCATCCTGTCTTTATAAGCATTGTATCATGTCATCTAAACCTGGTTTTATTAATCATTCATTGTTATAATGTAAATTACATATATTATCTTATTATTATATTAGTTATTAAGGACACAGTTGCATTTAAGATCATTTTTATCCCATTCTACAGACAGCACCAGAACCAACAGCATTGAGGAGGATGAATTTTCTGCTTCAACCCTCATTGAGAAGGCCAACAAAAATCTTGGTAAGGCAGTCTGTATGTTCCTACTCTATATTTAATGACATCAAGAATGAAAAACAGATAATAACCTTCACTTGGTGTTGTTTTCTAGGACAAAGACTTGATGAGCCACTAGTCATGTTTGGGGACATCGCAGTAGATACTGGGTTCATGAACGCTGACCCCTGCACAGCTCGTGGCTGCAAGTGGCAGAAGTCCTCTGATGGGAACGTTTATGTGCCCTTTGTGATCTCTAATCAATACTGTAAGTATTTTGTTCTCTGAAATGAGTTTATGCTGAGCCTAATGGTTTGGTTTTACTATATTATATGAGTCTGTGTGCACGTGTGTGTATTGAGTTTCGGACTTTCTTATCGCTCCATTGAGCAGCGGCCCGGGAGAGGTCCGTAATTGAAGGTAGCCTGCAAACCTTTGCTGCATCAACCTGCATCCGATTCTTTCCCCGAACCAATCAGAGGGACTTTGTGGACATCCAGTCTCAATCAGGGTATGACCACTGCACATTACATTGCTAGGCCTGTTATACTTGTCTTCTGCCACTCTTATTTACTTAGTATTTACTTGACTATATACTTTACTGTTATTGCTACATACAAATAATACTCTATCGCTTTTAGAAATGACCTTGTCTTCCGTATACACCCTTGTTTGCAGCTGTTTCTCGTTTATTGGACGCCGGGGCAATGGCCAGGTGGTGTCTCTTAGTAGGAACGGATGTGTCTTTCTGTCTGTGGTGCAGCATGAACTGCTGCACGCCTTGGGCTTCAACCACGAGCAAACACGCAGTGACCGTGATAGCAATGTTCAGATCCTGACTCAGAACATTATTCCTGGTTAGTGCTTTCTACGTCCATGGATGCTGGCTTTAAAATATATATATTTGAAACAATTTCATAGGGAAATAATAAATACTATTGTGTACAACATATGTAAATATTATTCCTGCCCATTTTGAGTAAGAAATCTTAGAAACACTTTAATAATATTAATGGAAAAGCTTGATTAAACTATTTATAGTGTACTACTATTTGATTATAATAATAATACATTAGTATTTAATTATTTGTAAACATGTAGAAACATTGACAAGGATTTGTAAGCATTATAAGCTTTACAATTAATAAGCATTTATAACATTCATAATCTGTAAAGCATTTCTTTATAAGCTTACTCATGAAAGTTATTATAATGTGTAAGAAAATTATTTATCATACATTTTCCATCCTAGGAATGGAATTCAATTTCAGAAAGATCGACACGATTAACTTGGGTACTCCATATGACTATAATTCTGTCATGCACTACTCAAGGTAAGTTGAGGGAATTAATATAAAGGTTTTCTTTACTACAATAACAGCTGTAATGTTACATAAAATAAGATAAATCATTTTCCCTTTCATAGTCTACTCATGTCATCCTCTAATTTCAATTGATGGCGTGAGAGCTTTCTGCCCTATGTTGTCTGGTTCCAGGTTTGCCTTCTCCAGGAACACACAGCCCACCATTCTTCCAATCCCTGACAATAATGCAGTTATTGGCAGAGCAACTCAGATGAGCCCGATTGATATTCTGCGGATCAACCGTCTCTACAACTGCAGTAAGTGCTATTTTAAGAAGACCTGTTTATCATAACTGTGAAGAATAAAAGTTGTGATTATTGTACCTGCCTGTAAGCTTCACCCCATCGTCGCTCAATCAATTAGAAATATTTGGGAATATAGTATTTGAATTGAACGTAGTAATATTCAGTTTTTATACTGTTATAAATGGGTGTACACCTTATTTTTTAAAGCCTTGAGCACCATCAACGCAAAAGGCAGTAATACAGTATGTTAATTCTAATTATATTTTCTCTTTCCCTTCTCTTTTATTAGCGGGACAGCCGTTGGAGTGATTTGATAAGTGCGATGGTAGAGCGTCTGCTGAGGATTGTAACTGCAGTTATAGCTTGCTTTTCGACTTTTGAACATGAACTCAACAAATGATATGTAATGCTGAAAGAATGAATTGAGATGCAGATAACCATTTTTTTGTGCAAGTATATCTTTACGTCTGTATATCAGATCGGACATAGCTTATCATAGATATAACATTGGTATGGCAAAGCAAAGTACTGTAGACTACTGAAGCATTATCACAATAAACATGTGTAATAAGGTGTATTTGATAGAACGCTCTATGTTTGTTTTGGTTTATGTTGATTTTTCTGATTGCAAATGGTACATTGATGGTGATTATCATATAACGTGCACAGGTGTCCAATTGGTATAGTGAGTAAAACTAAAACCTTTTGTATTTTAACAAGTCTATCTCACCAAAGCCTACAGTAATAACACACGTCCCAACTCCCACACGCACAGAAAATCCTTTATTATACAGGATAAAGGAAATTTAACTTTTGCATTTTGGAAGTCTGAAACAACGACATGAGGGAGCACATTCAATGATAGTAGCCTATTTATTTTTTCGGTAACACTTTACGACAAGGTTCCATTTCTAAAGGGTTTATAATGACGTTATTAAGGATTGTTTAATCATTTGTAAAGGCATTATAGACCATTAATAAACGGTTATATCGCATCGGTCAAAATAGTGCAATAACTAGTGAGTTTTTGCCAAATAGTGAGCCAATATTTACCTCCAGTTATTAACCATTTATAAATGCACTTACAAATGCTTATAAGATTAACCCTTATGTATCATCATGCAACCTTATTTTCAATAGTTGCACAGTTGAACAATAGCTATTTTCTCACTTTTGGGTGTGATGTATTGGTGCTCTGTCCCAGGAAGAGAAGAGGTTGGTTTTAATGATGTGTCTTGACCCACCTTTGAAACCCTGATGCCCTGGCCAAAGTAGTATCCAGGATATTATTCAATCATCATTCCTAGTATATTACCCCTTACCAGATTATATCAACACACATAATACCTTCGGTTGGTGAAACAGTGGAGGAGCTATCATCTCACAACGTTGAATGTTTTGGTCTTCATACCCACTATTCATTGACTGAATATGTTTAACAACGTGTTGAATCATCTCTCATGTATGTAGTGATGATTACCCAACACTGCCTATAAATACAGTATGTCTAAGCTCTGAGGGAACTCTCAAATCATTTATAAATTATTTACCCACATGTATACAGTAACTGCTAAAAGTATACCTTATTTTAAAGTGACAGACCAACAAACATTTATAACTGAGTTATCAACATTTATAACTGCTAAAAGTATACCGTATTTTAAAGTGACAGACCTATGAACATTTATAACTGAGTTATCAACATTTATAGCTGATAAAATTATACCTTATTTTAAAGTGGCAATCCACTGACCATTAATGTTACAGGAGGGGGTCGCAGTTCCGGAGCGACCCACTAGGTGTCATCCTCCAACAACCTTAGGCACCTCCTCACTCACAGTCGGGACTAATTATCATCCTATTGGTGTCACCTGTGTCTATCTGTTCACCTGTGTATTTATGCCCTCACTTCCCTGTGTTCCCTTGCTCAGTTTTCTCTGCTAGTTTCTTGATGTCAAGCAGTACGAATCAGTGTCTGATCACGAGACGGAAGTACAGGTACATGAGAAGTGTTCTCCCTGTTTCAATGTTGTTTTCAGTCATAGTAAGTAGTTTGTATTTTTGCTGTCAGACTGTTTTTGGAGACCAAATTGCTCCACCCTTATTTTTCATGATAAGTCCGTTATTTTGTATCCTGGCTTTGGGACCACAAGGAAAGATCCTTATTTCACCATCTTTGCCTACTGCCTATTGTCTATCCTGCACCGCACCTGGGTCACACCTCACACCAACCCTTACACATTAACAAATGAGTTAGCAACATTTATAACTGCTGAAAATATATCTTTAAAGAAAGTGGAAACCTACTGACCATTTTATTAATGAGTTAGGCCTACCAATATTTATAACTTCAAAAAATATACCTTAAAAGAAAGTGGAAAACTTCTGGCAATTTATGAATGAGTTGCAAATATTTATAACGGCATATAATCTCCTCAAATATGCAATACACAGAAAGAACAAAATGTAATTTAATAGAAGGATACATTGGGATTTTTTGTTGATTGCAGTGTCTCAAAATCTGTGGCCTATCATTGGTATACTATGACTAAAATGTATAGGCTACAGATTAGTAACCCATGTTACATCAGATAAACAGGGGTTGTATTTTCTCCCCTTTTTAACATTCCCCATCAGATAAACAGGGGTTGTATTTTCTCCCCTTTTTAACATTCCCCATCAGATAAACAGGGGTTGTATTTTCTCCCCTTTTTAACATTCCCCATCAGATAAACAGGGGTTGTATTTTCTCCCCTTTTTAACATTCCCCATCAGATAAACAGGGGTTGTATTTTCTCCCCTTTTTAACATTCCCCATCAGATAAACAGGGGTTGTATTTTCTCCCCTTTTTAACATTCCCCATCAGATAAACAGAGGTTGTATTTTCTCCCCTTTTTAACATTCCCCATCAGATAAACAGGGGTTGTATTTTCTCCCCTTTTTAACATTCCCCATCAGATAAACAGGGGTTGTATTTTCTCCCCTTTTTAACATTCCCCATCAGATAAACAGGGGTTGTATTTTCTCCCCTTTTTAACATTCCCCATCAGATAAACAGGGGTTGTATTTTCTCACCTTTTTAACATTCCCCATCAGATAAACAGGGGTTGTATTTTCTCCCCTTTTTAACATTCCCCATCAGATAAACTGGGGTTGTATTTTCTCCCCTTTTTAACATTCCCCATCAGATAAACAGAGGTTGTATTTTCTCCCCTTTTTAACATTCCCCATCAGATAAACGGGGGTTGTATTTTCTCCCCTTTTTAACATTCCCCATCAGATAAACAGGGGTTGTATTTTCTCCCCTTTTTAACATTCCCCATCAGATAAACGGGGGTTGTATTTTCTCCCCTTTTTAACATTCCCCATCAGATAAACTGGGGTTGTATTTTCTCCCCTTTTTAACATTCCCCATCAGATAAACAGGGGTTGTATTTTCTCCCCTTTTTAACATTCCCCATCAGATAAACAGGGGTTGTATTTTCTCCCCTTTTTAACATTAAGTCAGAATAGAAATTGACAACAGATTAACTATTTAAAAATACAACATTAACATAGGGTCTCATGGTCCCATTTTGTGTCTTTCTTGTTAAGCATTTCCCCATCCTGGAATCTAAGACCTTATGGGAATATCTGGGAGAGAAGAGGAATATATGACAATTTATCATAGACACTCTAGCTACACATAACTCTACTATCCTCATTATCATGATTTATACAATTTAGGCTTAGCTTGTTATGTTATCTACTGCTAGCTAATAATAATAATAGCTAGCTAGTGTTTAACATTACTTGCTAACACTAATAGCTAGCTACCACAGATTAAAGGGGTTAGCTAGTTATCACAATTTTTGCTAATACACTAGCTAGTAAGTTAGTATTAAAATTGTTACCACTAGTGTACTGTAGTGCTGAGTGATTAACCAACATGTTGGTTATTTTTCGTTTTTTAAACAACTAATTGACTGACATGGGTTACATTTCTTTCTGTGAGCTTCATCTGATTTAGAGATAAATCAGATGAAGCCTGAACTGTGCGATGTAGTAGGGAGTGTAGTTTCCATTTAAGTCATAATGCCAGAGAAGACAGTGTTTGGAGGATATAGTTGCACGGGTGTTGTTAGGCCTGAGACAAAGTCGAGTGCCGGCCAACCGTGCCAATATATCCTCCAAACACCGGCTTTGAGGGCAGTATCACTTTATATAACAGGTTACCAACATATTCAAATAATGATTGACATATTTTCATTAAAAACTTTATTTGTATTAATTTATTCATACTATTTCATCCTTCCACAAGATATAGTCCCGACACAAATCTAGGGTTGCTACCCAAACCAGCTGGTCGTTCGTTCTATCGGTTCCGTTGCCAGAGACACGACCCAGTCGTTCAGTCTTTTTGTTCTATATTGCCTCGTTCAGTCTTTTTGTTCTATATTGACACAACCCAGTCGTTCGTTCTAAATATACCATTGCCATACTGGCTGGCAACGTTCTTATCCCTTGCTTGCGAGCTAGCCAATTATGGCTAACTTACAGTCACGTCAAAAGCCAGAATAACAGCAAAGTAGCTGTTTTCTAGTGACATTTATTTGGATACATCCATAAAAATGAGCTAATGAGGCGCAATTCTGCCTGGCATAGAAAATGTGCTCACTTCAGAGGAGCTAGCCAACAACACAGCTAACACAATCACTTCAAACTGAAGCTGGAAAGACTGAAACTAGCTGCATTTCGTTTCCTTTTATATTTTTTCAATTTACATTTTCTTTGTATATATCCATAAAAATGATGCCAGCTGATTCATGATTTAGACTGGCTGAGAAACACTGCCTTCCTGTCTCTCGTCCCAACATGTTCATTACTATGGGACAGCTGGAGATCGTATTCGAATATTGAAACAATGTTGCAAATGTCGGAGCAACAGACAAGGTTTATACAAATCTCTGCTGTTGAAAACTAAATGTTAATCTAAAAGAAATGTGAGATAATGTCTAGATGCTTTTTATAGTGGAGATCAAGTTTATAAATTGCTTTGCTGGGCTGATGAGAAAGTGGATTGCGCAGTCAGATGGAACAGAGTAAATAGGCATGTTAACGTCATAGATTTAGCCCGTGGTAACTTGTGGAATAGACACTGGCTATAATACGGTTTTAACCAATCAGCATTCAAAGTTTAGCACAGAAAACGCGGTAATTAACTACAATGACCATAATTCATTGCACGCCCACTTAAACTTGTCTGGTCTTTGCGGAGCAGACACAGAGACTGAGAGAAGAAAGAACATGTGATTGAGAGGGATAGAAAGGAGTTGCTTCCTGAGCCTGAAAATGCCTGATCTAAGTGATTGATAGTTGGTATTCAGCAGTCATATAAGTATGCCTTATTTACTTTGAAGAACTACTAAAATTACGATTTTGTCAGACAGCATAGGCAGCAGCTCTATAGAGATGCGATGACTTGGAATGAAATAATGAAGTAATCAAATAAAACAAGTAAAGTAATGTCAATAAATTATGGTTAATAAGTGATAAGCAGTAATGGCAGTCACTACCATCATGGGACTTGTATTAATTGTTTTATTCAGTGTTGTTACAGCATTCAACCCACATAATGCATAGTGCAATTAATGTCTAAAAAAAGAATAAAAACCTGAATCGAAAACCCTGATTCATTTTTTAAATAATTGAACCGAAACCGAACCGACCTCAAAAAGCACTCATTGTTCAGCACTAGTGTGCTGACAAATGATGCAAGCTAGCTTGAAGTGAAATGAAAAAAATAACTTGTTTCAAAAAATTCTAAAAAATAAATAACGGAAAAGTGGTGCGTGCATATGTATTCACCCCCTTTGCTATGAAGCCCCTAAATAAGATCTGGTGCAACCAATTACCTTCAGAAGTCACATAATTAGTTAAATAAAGTCCACCTGTGTGCAATCTGTGTCACATGATCTCAGTATATATACACCTGTTCTGAAAGGCCCCAGAGTCTGCAACACCACTAAGCAAGGGGCACCACCAAGCAAGCGGCACCATGAAGACCAAGGAGCTCTCCAAACAGGTCAGGGACAAAGTTGTGGAGAAGTACAGATCAGGGTTGGGTTATAAAAAAATATCTGAAACTTTGAACATCCCACGGAGCACCATTAAATCCATTATTAAAAAATGGAAAGAATATGGCACCACAACAAACCTGCCAAGATAGGGCCGCCCACCAAAACTCACAGA